TGTCTGTTATTATTTTCATATTTTGCCAAATTAATGTAAATGTTTGATGTTAAACTTTGATTCTGAAAATAAATGACTCCATTCATTTTGATGGGTCAAAGATAATAACGTCTCTCGTTCGCATTTCTGTTAAATTCAATGCACGGCATTACACAGTCAGAAAGATGAAGAACTCGTGAATATAGTATGCATATAAACGGGGATATATTGTCATACTACAACTAGTGGCACGTACCCACGTGTTTACTACATAAATTTGGCACAAAACAGCTAAATAGTAGTTGAAATAGCAGAAAAAGCTGAAAACATAACAAGCTAAATTTATCAGAACAAAGTTAATTAGGCTAAAAGTAGCAGAAAGTACATAGAAAAACTTGAATTTATCTGAGCAGGTCCCTGGTTCAAGTCCTGGTCCAGGAGCCTTTCTGGGTGGAGTTTGCATGTTCTCTTCGTTCATGCGTGGGTTTTCTCCGAGTACTCCGGTTTCCTCCCACAGACCAACAACATGCATGTTAGGCTGATTGGTAACTCTAAATTGTCCCTAGGTGTGAGTGAGAGAGTTGTGTGGTTGTTTGTCTCGTTTGTCTCTATGTGTCTCTGTGATGGACTGGAGACCTGTCCAGGGAGTACCCCGCCCCACGCATAGTCAATCAATCTTTATTTAGACAGGTAAATCCCATAGTGATTGCTGGACATGGGCACCGGCGACTCCCATGACCCAAAATGGAAGAAACGGGTAAAAGATAATGGATGGATGGATGGATGAATTTATCTGAAAACAGCTGAAATTAGCTAAAAACTCATAAAAATGTAGCTGAAAAGGTAGAACAAGCATAAATTAGCAGAAGAAAGTAGAAAAAACATGCTTTCCTAATTAGACTGAAAGAAGCAGAAGTTAGCACAAAAAAGTGGAAATTATCTGAAAAAAGGCAGAAATTACCAAAAGAAAAGAACTGCTGAAAAGTGGCTAATAAAGCAGAAAGAATATTAAATTACCAGAATGAAGTGGAGAGAGCACATTTTTAATTAGTCTGAAAAACGTTGAAATTAAATTAGCAGAAACAAGTTAGAAGAAGCAGAAAAATGTAGTTGGCAGAAAGAATCTGAAAGGAGCACAAAACAGCTGAAAAAACAGCTGAAATTAGCTGAAAGTAGCTAAAAAACAGTTAAAATTTACAGAAGGAAGCTGAAAGAAGCTGAAGCAGAACAAAATGTGAAAGGAGCAGTAAAAGGTTGTAAACAGATCTAAAGATTTGAAGGATGTAAAATGAACTCAATTTGTTTTCTGAGGGGAAAAAAATGCCAGAAAAGGCTAAATATTTCAACAAGCTGAAGTTGCATCAAAACCAAAAGTCATAGCAGGAGTGTTCTGAACAAGCTGAATGTTTTGATTTATGATTTGTTGAAATAGCTGAAAACTGCAGGATGAGAATCGCGTAAAAAAAAACGTACAAAAGAAAAATGGATCACAGTGTGAATGCTTCATATATATTCACACTATTGTGAAAATTTTGCAAATTAATTGTGTGAATATTTGGACAAAATAATGTGAGGAGTTTCAGTCAGGATTCAGAGCTCATCACATCACAGAAAGTGCTCAGTGATGTTCTCATGATCTCACACAGTGAAGTTGTCCTGAAACAACTGATCACAAGATCTCATTACAGAAGTCTGAACATGAACACAGTGAGCTCACAATGGGAGTAAAGAGGCTTATGGCAAACGATTCAGGGTCAGAGTGTTACAGAATCAAACCAGAACAATAGCCATTATTGCTGTAACAACAGGTGCCGCCTCCTTTCACTTTGCCGGACAGCTCCATGACCCAGTCCACTCTGAGCTGGAAGCCCACCAGCTGTAGGGCAGAATCAGGCACCTTCTGACATGGCCACATTTCCATGAAGCACAAAACAGATGAAGATAAAAAGTCTGTTTTTCCTCATCAATAGCTTAACCTTGTCCATTTAGTTGCTTGGCATGTGCACATTGAAAATAAATATTCCAGGTAGTGGTGGGTGCATACTTTGTTGACAATGATGACTCAGCTGTTCTTCACGATCAAGGTCAATAATGAAGATTATGACAGGAACATCTCCTCCTGTTAAAATTACTGTGCACAATGACACAAAAATATATGTGGAAATATTCCACAATTATCAGTTAGGTTCTATGGGGACATTTTCAAACTATAGCAGGGGTTTCTATAAAGAGTCTGCTGCACTCAGTCTAGAACAGAACTAATACGGAGATCGCGATCGATTGAGTACATAATTTCGTTCCACCTCATGTACCACATGTGATTCGAATGACAATAAAACGGACTTAACTTGATTAAGTGCTAAATGCTTTGAACAAGTCTAAGTAAAGTACAGCACAGTAGTCCTTGGCATCCAATGTTTCATCATCATTAAAAACCTGTACTTTTGCTGCTTTTGTCTTGTTTTACTTTTTATGTTCAAGCTACCATTTGGCTGCATTTGGCTTTTAGCTGTTTAGGTTTTAGAAAGGGTTCAAGGTTCTTTATTGTCATTCGCATCACATGTGGTACTTGAAGTGGAACAAAATTGTGTACACAGATTCCCAGTCACAGCCAATGACAACAAAAATATAAACTATAAAAAGAAACAGTAAATAAGGATCTAAGATATAAACTAAATGAACACCAAATGGCACGCTAAAAGAACTAAGACACACGTCACTAATGGTGCAAAACAATACACCGAACAACAGCAGCACGAACATGAGTCTTTGTGGGTGGATGAGTACAAATGAATGAGTACAGCAGTGTGAAATAATCAGCTGCATGAAATTAGCAGCATGGATAATCAGCAGGACATATCAACAATCAAAGTGGCATTACAGTGATAATCCTGGTTAGAGATTCATGAGTCTAACAGCCTCAGGGTAGAAGCTGTTCCTCAGTCTAGTGGTTCTGCACTTAATGCTCCTCAACCTCCTGCCTGAGGGGAGCGGGGCAAAAAGTGTGTGTGCTGGGTGAGTGGGTCCTTCATGATGCAGGTGCCTCTTCCTACATCTGGAGGTGTAGATGTCTGTGATGGTGGGGAGGCTGACTCCAACATCTTCTGTGCAGCCTCCACCACTCTCTGCTTCTCTTAACCATCTCACTTCCAGTTCCTCCAGCAGATTTCAGCAGTCATTCAAGACTCATCATTTACGTTGTAGTATTCAAAGAAAATGTGATTTGTCTAGTTGGGTTTGAGCTTTGCTTTTTCCCTTAAGGTTACAGATACAAAGACTCAACGTGGAACCCGCAAAGGCAGCACCTCCTCGTCTTCGTCCTCTTCTTCCTCTGCTCCCTCAGACCCCCTCAGCTCCATGCTGGATGGAACCGACCCCCTGTCTATGTTTGCTGCAGCCACAGAAACTTCCGCCATGTCCAACATCAGCTACACAGGGGTCAGTCAACCCTGCAGTTGTTATATTAGGGAGCTTCTGTGTCAGAAGGAAATAAAACCTTTTATTCAAGCTCACAGTGAAAATAAATCTTGTTCTTTCAGGACCTTAGCAAGAAGAAAAGAGAGAAGCAAGAGGAGGCGGTGGGTTCTGATTTTGAGCCGTGGTCATCAAAGCGAGGAGAAATCCTGGCCAGGTTCACCACAACTGAAAAACTCTCCATTGTGAGTCCACTTGAAGTGTTCTGTTAGCAGAGTCCCTGCAGGATTCTCACAATGAGTTCTCAACCCTCTGAGAGATTTTCATGAACACAGAAAACCGCCTTGGTTCCTAACTCATAATTAAAGCAGCAGAAGAATGACAGAAATGAGCTGATCGGGTTAAATGCATGTGTTCTTAAAATGTTGCCTAAACAAAACTTAATATCATAATTTTTTCTTCTTTTCAGAATCTTTTTATGGGCTCTGACCAAGGTATGATTATTTATTTCTCTTCAGCATAACAAATTCGAAGTGCCTTAATTTCCAGACTATAAAGCACACCTGAGTATAAGCCGCGCACACTAAATAAAAATAAAAATAAATTTGTACATATAAGCCATGGGTGTTCATATTTAGATAATGCCGTGGCAACATATGACACCTCCGTCCCTGCTGACACCACCAGAGGACATCAGTCGCTCTCTGTTGTGCTGCAGGACTGCATGTGAATGCTTTTAACCATAGACTGTTTGTTTATATTGTTTAGTCTATGCTTTTAGCCGTTAGCTAACTGCCTAATGCTGACACAAAGCCAAATACCTAAGTGCATCAGTGTTGTGTCATTCTTGTGCAGGCTGTCAATGATGCCATGATTACATTCTAACTTCGGATTAATGTAAAACAAAATTATGTTTTATAAAACAAATGCTTTATGAATAAGAGATTTTCAATTAAATAACATAAACTCTGTGTACACCATTGTATATGTATTGTGCAAGTTCACCCTTAACAAGAATTACAGTAGTTCAAAGTTCAACTTATACAGAATAAGACTGAAAAAAAAAATCATGTTCATAATTGAAAGCATGACTTAACATCTTTAAGATCTACCGTAATTTCCCGACTAGAGTGCACCTGAGCATAAGCTGCACACATTGAATTTATTTTTTTTTAAAAAGAGAGATGTCTGGGCCTCCCTGCTCAAGCTGCTGCCCCCGCGACCCAACTTCGGAACAAGCAGAAGATAATGGATGGATGGATGAAAAAAAAAATTAAATACAATTCAGTTTATTTATATAGTGCCAAATCATAACAGAAGTTATCTCAGGGCACCATATAAGCCGTGGGTTTTCACGTTATAACGAGTGGCAGTACAGCTGCTGAGAGATGTGCAGCTCTTGTAGATCAAGAATCAACCACCAGATGGAGTATTACACACTTTATCTTACTGGTCAACACCCACAGACAGAGTGAACCCCACAGGTCTTCATGGCAACTACCGTACTTGCCTCCGTACACGTCGCACCACCGTGTAAGTCGCATCAGTCCAAATATTTCTAATAAATTGGAAAAAAACAAATAAGTTGCTTCGCTGTAAACTTCACATATATTATTCGTCACCGCTGACAACCCGGAAATGTGGGCCGGTGTTGTGTCAAAAATCGACTGGCTGCCAAATGGTGGCCGCGGGAGCATGCATGGGAGGACTTTTAACAAGAATTTAACAAGATTAATATTTAAAAACAATTATTTGTTTGCTCAGAATTATAGCAAAGGTGTTTCAGTTGACCCTTTCCTTAATAAATGCACTTTAATAGTAAAATCAGTTGCATTTCGACTGGGCGGCGCGGCAAAATGAAGTTGATTTGTCTGGTTTGCTCCAGGAGTTATGGAGCGAGATGAAGGTGGCTTGGTATGTCAAGCCAAGTGTCTCATTAATAGCCACTTTTACCTATTAATGAGACACTTGGCTTGCCATATTGGTGGAGCGCCCTCTATTTTTCATGTCAGTATGAATGAAATCATCAGATCTCAGCCAAACATTGGGTTATAAATGTGTGTGTGTGGGGGGGGGGTGGGGGGTGGGGGGGTGAATTAGTTGCTTCAGTGTATAAGTCACAGGACTTGCAAATTTATGCAAAAAGGTGTGACTTATACAGCGAAAAATATGGTACCTCCTTCACTCATGCTTACCAGTACTTACTTCTACTGACTGGTCTAACACAAACTAACACATAATGAACACATAAACTAACAAGAACAAACTAATCACTAAAAGATCAATGATAAACAGCTAACTGAAATGATTAACAATGAACATAAATTTTACCCATAATTCTTCCCTGAGGCCACATGATTGGCAGTCATCCACCTTCTAGCCTAGTTTGTGTTTTGTAGAGTAACCATGAGTGAATTAGGTAATTGTCATGAAGACCTGTGGGGGTTCACACTCTTTGTGTGAGTCACGACAACCCACCCCATAGACTGGGCAGCTATGTGAGCGCCAGGGTGTGACTGGGCTAAATGCTTTTGGTGGCAGGAAGCTCGTTAGCCCGTCAAAAAAAAAAAAAACACAAATTAGCCATAGCATTGTATATAAGAGCTTATAGACCGGCTTGTAGACCTGGAAGTACAGTAGTTGTTTTTTATCACACCGTCTTGTCCACTCCTTCTTTATGAAGTCATTTGAGTAAAAGTTTTCCTGTTTTGTCTGATAGTTAATAAATGATTGGTGTCATTACCAGGAAAAGCTCCTAATCCAGGATCTGTTTCTGAGAAAGTTCGCACTCGCCTGGAGGAGCTGGACGATCTGGAGGAGGTAGGTTGGTCTGTTCACAGGTCTGAATCGATGCTGAGCCATGTTGCTTTCACAGTTTAGCTCCAAATGACTCGTTCACTGAAAGTTTTGTCCAGATTCTATTTGTCAGCTGACTTTGCTGCATTTTTTATATTTTTACTATCAGTTTTATTTGCTTAAAGAAGAAGCGTTTATTTTTTAAGGAAGCTTCTTCTTTGGACCTGGTTGTATGTGTGCGCTCAGGGTTCCCAGAGAGAGCTGCTGAACCTCTCCCAGCAGGATTACGCCAACCGCATCGAGGAGCTCAACCAGTCACTGAAGGAGGCCTGGGCCTCTGATCAGAAGGTCAAGGCCCTGAAAATAGTCATCCAGGTAAAACCCAAAAGCTAGGATAACTCAATGTGTACTTTTTTGGTCCCCTGTCGTAGAGCTATAATGAGAAATTAGAAATACCCTCTATTTGTCCATCTGTGCGTAGGGCTGAGTACCGAACCGAGGTTCTTTTATGGCACCGACCGAACTGCACCTGTCGGTGTATGTATTGAAATGTCACTCTTCTTTCGGTGTCAAGTTTCAGTATTGGCTGTAACGTGTCACGTGAATTCAGCATGCAGGCTGGTAAAACACCAGACATATGACAAACAGACTACACCCAGATTACACCCAGAGCTGTATAGAGCTGCCGTACCTAATCTATGTATAATTATGTCTATGGTGCAGGTGACGCCCACAGATGGGTTCACGTGTGCAGCGTGTGTTGTCGAACAGCTTCGACAACACGTGCTGCCAAAAGTTTCTCCGTGTTTTTCTGCGAGAAGAGTTAATTAGCCTCCCCCTCCTCCTCCCCCTCCTCCTCTCAGCATTAGTCAGCCTGTGAGAGCCTGAACATCCTAATTCATTATCTCCTCAACTGGACTCTTCATCAAAGAACTCCGAGGACGGCTCTGTGTGCTTCAGCTGGTGAGTTTACGTTTGTTAGCGTAACTGCAGCTTAACACGTATATCGCGGTGAAATAAATTATGATCCATGTAACGCTAACTTTAAGATATTAGTTTGTAAATTTATTTTATCTACGTAGCTAGCTAAACTCAGAAGCTAACTAAAGATTGACAGTAACATAAATCTTAGCTTGTCAAACATCTATCCAGTCAGCTGCTTAAACAGTTCACTAATGTTCACTGCACTGTTTATGTTCATGTTCTCCTCACAGGAGGTTCTGACCCTGATGTGAGGAGGACAAAAGAAAAGCGGGGGGAGGGGGGCACAGGACAGTCAGACTTTGTTGTTAAAAGTTTGCTGCTTTTTCTACAGTGGAGCTGCACGGTGGAGGTAAGTAAACTGTAAAGGATTTTGTTGACCAGTTAAACTTTTATCTCTCAGCCTAGATAATGTTTTTTGGGTAATAATAACACAACCATGTTATTGTTGATGTTTTGTACTTATGTCAATTAGGGAGATGGTCAGAGCCCTAAACCCCAGAGAACCACAGAGAAGATTCAGGCAGAGACACAAAGGTGCAGATGTCTGCCATCAACCGTAACCTCAGTGAATCCAGTGACCTGCTGGTGGAATGTGAGGGACAATATGTCAGTGCTATCAAACTGACAACCAGGTATCTGTGTGTGCAACAAGTATCATCTACAGCCTCAGAGTGAACATGTTCTACTGCTGGAGACACCATCAGCCAGGAGTGGGCTTGTTTGTGTCCAGAGAAAGAAGACATGTTGTTTCTGAAGAAAAACTGTGAAGTGAAAAGATCCTCAGTGTGTAGCAGTGAACATTAGACACTGACCTGTCACTGGTTTGAAACTGGTCTTTTGACATGGAAATTATTTGTTTGTTTTTATGTAAGAAAACTGCTTGGAATAGAAATACCAAAGTTAAAAAATAAAACTCACAATTTGTATTGTAATGTGTAACGTAATTTTATTCTTGTTAGAATTAATAGTAATTACAAAATTGGTACCGAAAAAAGAACCGTCCAGGAACCGACACTGAAGTGAAGGTACCGACACCGGTACCGATACAGATTTTTTTAGAAAGGTACCCAGCCCTATCTGTGCGTGTTGCGAGCGTGATAACTTGGGGAAAAAAAGGGAGGTAAATGGCAAATGGACTGTACTTATATAGCGCCTTTCTATCTTATCAAGATACTCAAAGCTCTTTACACTACAATCTGTGTCCTCATTTACCCATTCATACAGCACTCTACTAGATCTCTACAAAGATTATTGAACAAATCATTCTAAAGAGACTAATCAGTGCTTTGTCACATTCATACACCGATTGGACACACATCAGAGGCAATGAGGGGTTCAGTGTCTTGCCCAGGAACACTTCGACGTGTGACTGCTGGTGGAATCAAACCCCCAACTCTTGCATTGGAGGATGACTGCTCTAAACACTCAGCCACAGACGGCTTCTATTTTGGCATGTGGCTGCTTCTAAATGTAACAGGTCATTATTGAAAATTGGGTTGCTACATCAAAATCCAAGATGGCTGCTGCTATATATAGATTTGCAAACTAATTATCTCAACCATTTGAGAAAACCATGCTTTCGAGTTTTTATATTGTTTTAAAGTATAGTTTTCTTAAATGATTGTGGTGGACCAAGATCCAAGATGCTCCCTCCAATAGCCTGAATCTGTCACTCTATGCCGTCTCGAAAAAGAAATGAAAAAAAAGATCTACCTCTCTTCTTCAAATTGTAACTCTTCCTAACACTTACATTTCTTCAGTGTTTTCCCTAGATTATTTGTCCTGACAAGGCGCTCATCCCTTTTATGTCAGGGGTGGGGGTGGGGGTGGGGGGCACATCTGTGTTGCACGCTGATTGTACCAACAGTTTCAGGGGGAGTATCAGCATGAGGGAAATGGAGTAGCTTTTTAGCTAGCATGTCTGTACTGCCACACACATATATACATAGATGCCTTATTGAGTACTGAATCGTATGTCAGCATTGCCGCCTTAATGAATGTGGCAAAAGTGAAGCGATAGACGCGATAAACTTGCACTCATACACACATATTGAGATATATATATATACATATACAAACCGGATTCCAAAAAAGTTGGGACACTAAACAAATTGTGAATAAAAACTGAATGCAATGATGTGGAGATGGCAAATGTCAATATTTTATTCGTAATATAACATAGATGACAGATCAAAAGTTTAATCTAAGTAAATGTAACATTTTAAAGGAAAAATATGTTGATTCAAAATTTCACAGTGTCAACAAATCCCAAAAAAATTGGGACAAGTAGCAATAAGTGGCTGGAAAAAGGAAATTGAGCATATAACAAACAGCTGGAAGACCAATTAACACTAATTAGGTCAATTGACAACATGATTGGGTATAAAAAGAGCTTCTCAGAGTGTCAGTGTCTCTCAGAAGCCAAGATGGTAAGAGGATCACCAATTCCACCATTGTTGCGCAGAAAGATAGTGCAGCAATACCAGAATGGTGTTACCCAGCGTAAAATAGCAAAGAATTAGGTTATCATCATCAACCGTGCATAACATCATCAAAAGATTCAGAGAATCTGGAACAATCGCTGTGCGTAAGGGTCAAGGACGTAAAACTCTACTGGATGCTCGTGATCTCCGGGCCCTTAAACATCACTGCACCTCAAACAGGAATGCCACTGTCAAGGAAATAACAGAATGGGCTCAGGAATACTTCCAGAAAGCATTGTCAGTGAACACAATCTGCCGTGCCATCCGCCGTTGCCAGCTGAAACTCTACAGTGCAAAGAGGAAGCCATTTCTAAGCAAGCTCCACAAGCTCAGACGTTTGCACTGGGCCAGGGGTCATTTAAAATGGAGTGTGGCAAAATGGAAGACTGTTCTGTGGTCAGATGAGTCAAGATTTGAAGTTCTTTATGGAACACTGGGACACCATGTCATCCGGACCAGAGAGGACAAGGATAGCCCAAGTTGTTATCAACGCTCCGTTCAGAAGCCTGCATCACTGATGGTATGGGGATGCATGAGCGCTTGTGGCATGGGCAGCTTGCATGTCTGGAAAGGCACCATTAATGCAGAGAACTATGTTCAGGTTCTAGAACAACACATGCTCCCATCTAGACGTCATCTCTTTCAGGGAAGACCCTGCATTTTTCAACATGATAATGCCAGACCACATTCTGCAGCAATCACAACATCATGGCTACGTAGGAGAAGGATCCGGGTACCGAAACGGCCAGACTGCAGTCCTGTTTTTTCACCTATAGAGAATATTTGTCACATCATAAAGAGGAAGGTGTGACAAAGAAGGCCCAAGATCATTGAACAGTTAAGAGGCCTGTAAGAGGGTAAGACACAGAAAGAAATTGCTAAACGAATACGCAGTTCCCAGAGTGCTGTATCAAGGCACCTCAGTGGGAAGTCTGTGGGAAGGGAAAAGTGTGGCAGAAAACGCAGCACAACGAGAAGAGGTGACCGAACCCTGAGGAGGAATGTGGAGAAGGGCCGATTCCAGACCTTGGGGGACCTGCAGAAGCAGTGGACTGAGTCTGGAGTAGAAACATCCAGAGCCACCGTGCACAGGCGTGTGCAGGAAATGGGCTACAGTTGCCGCATTCCCCAGGTCAAGCCACTCTTTAATAAGAGACTCAGAAGCATCTCGCCTGGGACTGCTGCTGAGTGGTCCAAAGTTATTTTCTCTGATTACAGTAAATTTTGCATTTCCTTTCGAAATCAAGGTCCCAGAGTCTGGAGGAAGAGAGGAGACACATAATTCACTTTGCTTGAGGTCCAGTGTCAAGTTTCCACAGTCACTGGGGTGTCATGTCAGCTGCTGGTGTTGGTCCACTGTGTTTTATCAAGGGCAGGGTCAATGCAGCTAGCTATCAGGAGATTTTGGAGCACTTCATGCTTCCATCTGCTGAAAAGCTTTATGGAGATGAAGATTTCATTTTTCAGCACGACCTGGCACCTGCTCACAGTGCCAAAACCACTGGTAAATGGTTTACTGACCATGGTATTACTGTGCTCAATTGGCCTGCCAACTCTCCTGACCTGAACCCCATAGAGAACCTGTGGGATATTGTGAAGAGAAAGTTGAGAGACGCAAGACCCAACACTCTGGATGAGCTTAAGGCCGCTATCCAAGCATCCTGGGCCTCAATAACACCTCAGCAGTGCCACAGGCTGATTGCCTCCATGCCTCGCCGCATTGAAGCAGTCATTCATGCAAAAGGATTCCCGGCCAAGTATTGCATGCATAAATGAACATGATTATTTGAAGGTTGGCGTTTTTTGTATTAAAAACACTTGTCTTTCATTGGTGGGATGAAATATGCTAATTTTTTGGGACAGGCATTTTGGGTTTTCATGAGCTGTATGACATAATCATCAGTATTA